AGGAGTTGTGTAAAACCGAACTACTACAAATAGAAAATTAAAACCTAAAATTCGACATAGGTGAAACCAGTTGGCAGCTCGTGATAAAATTAAAATATTATATTGTTAAAATTATGTTACAGAAACTACCCTGAAAATTTAAGATACTTGTTGTACAAAATCACATTAATATGTTGATCCGTATTTTTTAAATAAGTTTTTTCTCCATATTTAAAAAATTTTATCACAAAGCAAACTACAATGTATGAACCAAATCCATCGCCACTACTACCACCGTCTACAAATACTAATAAATAATTGGTATAAAAAATGATTACACATTTCCACAAAACAGTGTTGTGTAATAAAACTTTTAATTAAAAATAAAATTTCATTAATCATTAATTTTTATTAAGCAAAACAGCAATTGGTGCGTGCAAATTCAACAATTTTTGGTACACTAGACACTAATTGTCTTCGCTGCCAATCACTAGCTGTCGCCACTAATCGGTAGTGCAAGACGCTAGTGGTCGCCACCTTCAATCAATTATTTAAGCCAGGTCCGGCCTTCAGTTAATTTACGATAAAATTCGACATAAAAGCATTTGTTACAGTGCTAGTAATAAGAAAACGGCGCAGATGATGCAAATTATGAAGAGCAGCAGAAAATTTGAAATTGAACGAAGAAAAAGTCTTCAAGTATTTTCAAATGAGTTACTACAAAATTACTTAAAACATCAAAACATACAATTCGGAAAATTTCAGCGACTCAATATCGTTTTACAATCAGACATATTTCCAAAATCACCACATGCTGAACAATGAAATAAAACGAATAAACAATAAAGTCGTAAACAGATTTATAACCACAACGGTCATAAATTTTTGATACAAGATGTAATGAAAGCACTGTACTTTACGATACTGTATTTATTATACGACTATAATTAATCACCGCACCCATGGAATAATTGGTTTCACACGTATTTGAAAAATTGAGATAAAAATTGGTAACTCGTTACGATGAATTACAAATTGAAGATTTGTTTTTTTTTTTTGAACTTCTTAAAAGAATTTATAGATTTAGATTTTGATTTTTGAGTATCGTAGCACGTTTTCCAAAGACAAGTAACTGTCAGAAAGCCTACGCTTATTTATTAGTCTTTCATGGAAATTACATTTAACATTGAATTTCAAAAATACTTTTATCTCTGGTTTTACGGCTTGAGTGAAGTTCTGTACTATATTTATTACATATTTTTTATCTCTTAACACTGCGACAGTGCAACTATTACGAAACATTAAATATGAAATGATAATAAAACAAACGGAGAACAGAGTTTTTTGATAGTGGTCGCGTTACCGAAACATGTGAGATTATTAATAAATTTGACTTTCTATTTTGTTTTTATTGTTAAGTTTTCATTTTTTAAATCTCTAAACATCATCTAAACACAAAAGATATCTTTTATTATTTACCCTGATAGAATGCATTCTTAAAGTCAAATTATATAGGGCAATGTTAACGTGTTTGTTGATTGAAGAAGAAACAAGCCAATTTCTTAAGTCATACCTAATTTAACTACCATCAGTCACCGCTGACTTCTTCTGCACCATCAGATGGATTAAAAAACTGATAGATATTATTGTAGAAGTTTATTTAGAAAATTACTTGGAAAAATGTCAAAAGTTTATAAGCTGTAATGAAGGTAGGAAATGGTTTCATTGATGAACTAGGCTAGTAATATCGAAAATTTTTTAGAAACGAATAGAGCATTTAATTTCTCATTAGAGCACTTAACTAGCATTTAATTGTTTATGTCTGTTGACTTTACTCTTCTGTCTGTCGTTTAGAAAATTTATCTTTACAGGCATAAAATTACAATATTATTATTGCGATGTTATTAAGACTTAATTTTAGTACCTATCTTTGATTTGAAACACAGGATTATTAAGGAATTGTAAGATGTGTCTATTACCTTCCAGAATAATCTTTTCGTTGGAGAATTTCACAATACAGTAAAAGTTCCTTATTCGGGGTTTCCTTGTTTGCGTTTTCATTATTCGCGGGTGAAAAAATTACAACCCGCATCCAGTATTTGCGGCTAAAAATTTCATTATTCGCGGATGCAATCGGTAAACAGAAAAGGGTTTGGTGTCATTTATTAAGGGGATTGACCGCAATAGACCGCTCGTGCCAACTGTGATTTTTTCCGAAAATTTAGGTTTCTATTATAAACATTGTGATTTAACGCTGCGAGATAAATATCTCATTTTTTGTACGGTAACAGACAAAGGTTCACACTAAGTCGGCACGTTTTTAGTTTTCAATAATATGGTCATTAAAAGCTTTTACAACTGCTTAAAGTTGATGCTTCTTGCACAACACGTATTTTCAATAGAAATTAAAAATTTGAAAATTGGCCTTCGACAAGCTTTAGAACAAAGCTTTATATATCTTACTACAAAATTTCAAACCTCTACTCCAAACATTAAACTCATGATATCAAGAACCGATAAGCATGTTTTTACTCTACGGCGCGTGTACTACCGAATCCTTTTGAATATGTTCTGTACTATTAATTTTAATTGCGAATTTCTCAACAAATTGATTTTATTTTGATACATATTGGTTTTATTTTGGAACCTTAGAATCCATCCCTTATAATTCCATACTATAACCATTCCACATCCACGGTTTCTGTATTCGCGGCATATTTATGGAACGCATACCCCGCGAATAAAATGCTTTTACTATATCAAATTTTAGTAACACAAAGTTGTAGAAACCCAAAAATTCCAAATGTAATCGATTTAGAACTGAAACAGTTTAATTTTTATCCAAACAATACTCACTGGTCTCACAGTGGACCAATGACTATACACGTCCACATTAATTTTTATTATTTCTGAAGTAATAAAAAGTATCTGAGTGCATCATACGTTTTCTTCGACTACTTACTGAAGTTCTCCCAGTTTCTGTTACTTATTTTATCGTTCGTTATAAGAATAAAATGAATTTAAAAGAAATTCCAAAGGAGATAAAATGGGTCGTCCACCCAGACCAGGTCCGTTGAAAAAACCGGTATCACATAAATTATTACAACTAATGGTTGAAAGATTAAAGTGTCCATACGAATAAAGGGTACAGCTTGAATAGACATGGTAATATTATGCATCCGGAATAATAAAAAATAGAATTCTTTTTAATTTTCTCACTTTGTGGCTTTTCTTACAATTAGAAACGAAATAAGTTAATTCGTTTTTTATACCTCCCTGTTATTAGATATCCAAATAACTATTAGAAATTATATGTAGAAATACTTCCATCTATCTCTAGAGTGTGTCCCACATTAATTGAAGCATTTCAGCGGCTTTTCTACTTTATTATTAAATATTCCATTGTATTGTTATCTCTGTGTAAGTATTTTGCCTT